AAACGTTTGAATTGAGTTTTTATTTCACTTTCCTATGATGCTTTCTTGTAAGAAGAAATCCTTTAATAAAACTAGACTTTTTTGAAGCAATTACACGCAGTATGAGCACATCTATATCTTTTAATTATCCTCGACATCCAACCAATACACATACAAATAAGATATGAGACAATGCCTACGGCCTGCTGGCGCATGATTTTTGGCCAATTAAGTCAGACGTGTCATCAACATTGACATGATGTCATACTCGAACTTTTTATTGAACTTTGGTTGAATTGTCAATGTGATCGAGAATGAGAGAATCAAGAGGAAGAAAACGTAACGTTCTCAGTACCCAGTAGAAAAAATGAAACAAAATCGACATATTTATCGAGGGATCAAAGAGTGAAAGAGGAACATAAGCGATCTTCTTTTGTCGTAATCCATATATGTATATACAGAAGGTAACTACTAACTAAGTGACTACAATTCAGTCTTTCACACAGAAATTGTGGACATAACAAAGTGTGGCAAGTGGACTTCTGCTCTAATCAGCAAGACCATAAACCATCTAGTGAGTTGTCAAGCGACAATTGAGGCTATATGAATGTGGCGATAATAACATGTCTTATTGTGTTAGTTTATAGAAGCAGGTAATAACTAAACTCTCAGTAGGCAACTCAGTTAGCATCATCTGAATATCCAGTCATATAGGAATAGAAGGAATTGAAAAGGCAGACGTTCTGGCTCGAATAGTGGCTACAACTTAAGACACAATTCCCTTAAGCTGCCTTAGGCTATTCCGTTCTTTCAAGGGTTGTTTGAAGCAACGGTCGCTGATCTTGGACCACAAAGTTATCTTTGCGCTGTTCTGATGGTGAACAGACCAAAAAGATTCTACTTCTAGGTAAACGGGAGCTTAGCAACATTGTAGGGGTCATCTAGGGTACCTACTCTTAAGAGTCCGCCTTCAAAAAATGATAAAAGTGCATATATTGGAAGAATGGGTAGCAAATATTCAGGATTACTACCAAATCCACGGAGTTACTGGATAATAAACCGTTTACCTATTTTGTAATCTGCAAAGACAGTTCGTTAAATATGAATTTTTGAGCACGTAGAAGTGGTGGCGTATAAGTAACTTATTTGCGAGTCGTAGAAAATAATAGTTGGAAGTCTGAAAACTTACTCAAAAAACAAAAAAAAAAAAAATTTAAAAATAAGATGTATCTGAGAGATGCTGAGAAACTAAAAGAATTGTAATGTGGCTAGTATATTCTTGGCCTTAAACTCACACAGCGTGATATTCATTACCTTAATATGTCAGCATTACTCAGGCAATAGATATATTGAGAAATAAACTTTCGGAAGGAAAGTTAAGAAAGATTTTAAAGGTGAATTTTATCTAAGCCTCCTTTCTAGCCACTAACCTTATGCTATAAAATATTTAGTTACATAGAATTAACGTTTCAAACTAACTGAGGTTTCCACAAAGGCGCTCACGGAGACCCCATTTGAACAGTTGAAAGGTCGTTGCTTTGGGTTGGAAAAATCTCCTGAGTATAATTTATTAATGAATCGCATTAAATGCAGGGCAAAATGGTATAGCAATTAGTTGCCGAGCGATTTAAACCAATGCGCGCAGTTGCGGTTATATAATGCAAGATGTTTCAACTTATTTGTTGTTGTAAATTCAGCTTAAACCAAAATTTATTTGCCACGGTTTATCGAATGCCTCACGAAAACCCTTTTGTTCTTTTATTCTTATTACTTTTCTTGTCTTTGATTATGATTTTTGTTGATAAAAAGTGGGTCACTTACGACAACAACAAGCAAAACCGATCATAACTGAATCGCGATCAGCTTTCGTCAAAGTTTTCCAAGCCGGTCAGAGATGGTCAGAAAACTCTTGCTATGAGCTCCTTTTCTACCGCCAAACCCATAATTCGGATGTGTACTGTGCACTTGGATTGTCTAAAGGAATCAATCGCACATATACAGTTTGTGTTAAAAGCAGATAACTCAGCGATAGTGACTCATCAGAGGCAACGGAAGCTTGGTTGGTGGCTTCCTATAGAGCCATCTCATTGTTAGAACTGGGCACCAGGTGGTTGCAAACCTATTTCCTTCTAAGGCGTAATATTTTACGAGTGAAAAATTAGCCTCAAGAGAAGCTAGTGAATGCCGAACTGTCCCAGTTTTACGAGTAGTATTAGGAAAGTACCTTCAAGATGAAAATTAGCTGTCAAACATCATCAAACGGTCCATTTTTGATCTTAGTCGGTGTTTTCTGACTACATTCGCCATTTGTGGTGTATTATGTATCACTTTTATTGTTACATCTATATACATATATATATAAATTTGCATCTGGCATATTTAGTAATTGAGATCAAAAGCTATATTCTTATAAGCCAGCAGTTAAAACGAATTTTTCTGAACATTTAAAAGCACGACAATAATCGATATTCATTGTCATCAAGTGTAATTTTTTTTTTTTTTTTTTGAGAAATAATTATACATACATACTAACATATATACATATCTGCATACGTGGCATTTTTACTACACTAAGTTTGTTCATTGAGAATTTTTGTATTTAACCCTCTTATACACACAAATACGGCTTATTTTGTCTGTTTCTGTGGAAATTACTGTAAAACGCTTTGCCCTACTTTATGCACTACTTCAAGCCGTCTTTCCCACAATTACATTTCTACCTATTAATTAATCATAAGCGCTGCAATTGTAATTGTAGTATTTTCAACTAAAATCGATTTCTATTAAAAAGTCAGCTGCATTTTTCCCGTACTTTCATTGCTTAACCCTTAGTTGGACAAGTGTATATATATTTTGAAAGTGGTACAAAGCTTTAGAAAATGTTAAAGATAAGAAAAAACTTTAACATCGGTAATCCTGGGTAATAATTTGTACTAAATTTCAAGAAGATATATCCCTTGCTCCTCTCTCACGCACTGGTATTACATAGCTATTGTAAGACCAATTCTACTCTACGGTGCAGTAGTATGGGGCCGTAGCGACCGTATGCCAATAGAAAGGGTTCGGAGGCTCGGTGCGCTATGCATAGCGGGAGCTTTAAGAACAAGTCTATCGGCGTTTCTTCAACCGGTACTAAACCTGCCACCTCTTCGCTGAAATCTGCGCAGCAAAATCGGCGTAACGACAACTAACTGGATGGGAAAATTTACATATAAATCATTCGGTTATTGCTCGTTGGGTAATGACGCTCAGGCAAACACCAACTATATAATCCTACTTTCTTACTCTTTACTGGAAGGTTCAAAGTAAACACAGAGACCGATGTCTGGCTTAAAGGTGTGTTAACTACGCGCCACACTCCAACTATCCACACGGATGGCTCGAAAATGAACGATGGAATTGGTGCGTCAATATACTGCCCAAAGTAAGATATAAGGCAACCTTTTAAGTTACCGGATCACTGCAGTATATTTTATGCCGAGGCCTTTGCTATAATGAGAGCCTCGTAGATGACCTCCACTCAACCTGCAGGCAATTCCAGAGTCAACATCTACTTAGATAGTCAAGCAATAATCAAAGCAGTAACATTGTATGGGATATCGGCCAGAAGTTTCTTGTGAAGCAACTTACTGGGTGCCAGGCCACAAAAGCATCGAGGGCAATGAAATAGTTGACAAGAATGGTGTACGGCTGGCATCCGAAAACGTGATCAATATTGGGAAACCCGTGCATTATCTATACGACGAACTCGACAGAAGCATGGTAAAGAAAATCGAAATCGAATCGCGTGAAGCGCAGGTATCTTGAACGGACAACTTCGCTTGGACTAAGTAACTGAACTCCAACTGGTATCGCAAAGGACCAACCATGGTCCATACGTGGATTACTTTCTTACCAGATTAACCTAATCGAACGTGCGTGAAGATAACTCGTCAAACAAAAATTTTTTTTTTCTTATAAGGACTTCAGTTGGATTCGGTCAGTTTGTATGGCAGCTATTGTTTACTTGTGTCTGATATCGATGGTTCTTACTCATGAGCAGTTTCTTGGTGGTAGGAGGGTGGGAGGTAGTGGACTTATCCGGACTAAAAATCTACAACAGAGACGTTTGATATGATCAAACAGGCTGACCCAAACGTTTCTTAAGTAAAAAGTGGTGTGTTTCGGTAGCACCAGGCCTTTTGGAAGGCCGGAAAGATGTCGCTGACGACGACCGTGCTAGGAGACCTGCCACTTTCACAAACACCGACAATGTGACTCGTGTGCGGAAAGTTTTGAACTCAGACTATTCTGATGGACCACTTGCACATGGAAAATGTGTGCGCGAAGATGGTACCAAAAGTGTCACTGACGACCCGAAATTGCGGTGAGTGGAAGTTTGCCAAGAAAATTTGTGTAAACATGTGTAAAAAAGACCCCCTCTTTTTGGATAACGTAATCACAGGCTTCGATTCAGGGATCTTTGAGTATGATCCTGAGACAAAGGGGCAATCTTCCTAGTGGCACACGTCGCAGAGGAGATCTAAGCAGCATGCTCTCAAGGCTATTCTTGATAATGCCTTCCATGACGTCTTCAATGCTTAGAAATCGCGCTGGCATCGCTGCATCGCTACAGAAGGAGCCTATTTTCAAAGTTTTTAAAGAATTGTAACGATTGGTTCATTAAATTCTTTTAAATCCATTCTGCCCTTATACTTGCCGGACATACCCTCTACAAGTGCTTAGAAGCTCTCTCAAATTGTGTTATGTGTGTCTAAACAAGTGTTAAAAGATGATTCAATCTATTATTTGAAATAAAAGAGGTCACCAATATAATGAAAAAAAGAAAAAAGATTTCGTTTTAGTTGTGACCACGCGTAGGCTCTGCCTAGAGAAACAGAAAGTTCTCTATAACACGTAAGCCATTTTGAAAACCACTGCTAACTGCAAACACATTTAATTGCGCATTAACATTCATATTCATATGCCGTTAGCCATAAAATCCGTTATCTTAAATGCTAGACTGGGCAGGCTGTACTTACCTAGTGAAGTGCGCTGTTGTGTAGTTGTTGCCAGCGCCGCCGTTGCCATTACCAAAGCCAGCATCGGAATTAATGAATGCGGCTGCTGTTGCTAACGCACTGTTGTTGTTGCTGTTGTTGGTGGTGGTGTTCGAAACGGCTGTCAGTGGTGTTGTTGGCAAAGTTAGTAATCCACTCGGTGCTGTCGTGGCGTTAACAGCGCCGCCAACAACCGCTGCGGTTACAGTTGTATTGTTGGCGGCAACGTTGGAATTTACCGTACTTTGAAATGCGGGAAACAGTGTTGCCGCAAATGCACTTGTACCCACCACAGTTGGCGAGCTGCACGAATTCTCGTTGGCCAACACTGGCGTCGGACGCAAATATGGATGGAATTTCGAGGCAGTCGGCGCTTCCAAATATTTGCCTTGATACTGATGAAGTTGCCGATGCACGATACCATTGCTGTTGCTGTTGCCGCTGTTGTTGTTGCCGCTGTTAATATTACCATTGCTGACTAGGCTGGCGATGTTGGCGGCGTTGTTGCTAGTATTTAAATTATTATTATCCGAAATGGCAGCATTGGTATTTGCATTTACAATGGCAACAGGTGTTGGCAATGTTGCCGACGGATTAGCAACGCGCATTGCTGCTGTTGCCGCTGCTGTTGCGGCGTCCGTAGGTGTTGCCGTTATGCCATTGAGCTGATCGGCGCACAATTTCATGGAGTGCAACATCATTTACGCGGTTTGTTTGCAAAATTTTATTGGCGTTTGTGGTGGTTTTTCTTCACTTTACATACACACGCACACGCGCACACTCATACGCTACTACACACACTCAAATACACTTTAATGCATATATGCCGTTATTACACCTACACACTGTTGGCGCGCTATTAAATATGCCGTTATTTCCGCTATTTGCACAAAGCGCACATGCACATGTGTGTGTGTGTGTGTGTCAATCTGTGTGTTGTGTGTGTGGGACTAGCGCTCGGTTGGTTGCTTTTGGTTTCAGCAGCAAAAATTAACTGCCGCGGTTTACAGCGATTTGCTAATAATATACGGTAGTTGGCTGCTGCTCCTGTCGTATGGCACTGGGTAACACTCTATTATTATCACAATAGTTGCACAAATTCAGCAAATATTTACACACTTTATCAGCTTAATATGATTTTTATCAGTTTTTGTATTTTTGTGTTTTGTTGTTTTTTTTTTTTTTTTGTGTTTTGCTAGATAAGACGCGTCGTAATTAAAGCTAACTGCCTGGTCCTTACGGTGCAGTTAAAGTTCAATGATGTTGACACAGATTTTCAGCACTGCTGTAACTGCCATTATAAGTTTACACACCGTCCGTTATGTACATACATACATACATCTGCTTGGTATTTATCTTTTCAGCAGATAAGTTAGGCTAATGGCACACAGTAGAGTTGCGATAGAGTAGTTAGCTGTCAGCTAAAAAACAAAACAAAAATCTTAGTTAAATAAATAAATTTGTAAATGTTGTGTTATATATTATATGTATATATGCTATAGTGTAGCGCAGGAAGTCTATGAGTACATATGCAAAAAAACAAAAACACACAAAAAAAAAAAAATTGTTCATAACTAAAAATATATATCCAAAAGTACACATCTCCATTTTATTAGTTCAAATATTGTTCATCTGTGAAACAAAATTAAAAATACTTCTAGTTTTGTCAGCGGAACCAAGCTACTCAGATTAACAAGCTACACGTGACTGATATCCCACTGGGTTATTTTATTTTTATGGGGATACATGGGTTTAAGGGTTTCAAATGATTGAATTTATTACTTTGTTAAATTAAAAAACAACACCACAATATTGTGCTAAATTTTCGAGTTAATTCGCGCAGCTGTTTCGGAGATACAGCCTTGAGAAGTTGTGCGATCGAGGCTAGCTAGGCTAAGTGCGCCGTCTTTACACCCGATTTTCTCGGCACTGTGTTTTGAAGTCGGTTGGCAAGATTTATAGCGAACTACTCAACCGATCTTCGTACAATTTTACACAGATCTTTGAGATACAATTCTAAAAGACTTGGATGACAACTATTTGAAAAAAAAAATTCCCTGAAATTTTCACTGAAAATTAATTAAACTCTTATTTGAGTACAAAATAAACAAATTTTACATATTTTGATAAAAAATTTCGACCAACCTTCGCAGTGACATTTCTCCAAAGGTCCTCGGCAGGTAAGTGTGATTCATGATGGTTCATGCCAAACATTGGTGGCCCAAGCCAAAATAGGAGGGCTCTGCTAGCTAAAGTTAGTCACAGTCAATGCTCAGGTACCTAGATCCCCGTAAGGGAGACAGCCCCTCAAAAAGAATATGCCAATAAGGCAACGGATGTGTGCAGATTATGCGTCGTTAGAGTTGCCTGTGCATTTAGAACGGTATCGCAAGAAGCGATTGCTTTCATATGTCTAATTATAGACAGTAGTAGAAGTAGAATCTATCGTAAACCAAATATTTGAATAGGCGCCTAACGGCCGGCGAGCGCAAAAAGAGAGAAAGACAAATCTCGATAAAATAAAAGCATAGGACAACATGAATAACCTTAGAGAGAGGGCGTGAAGAGGCACATATCGTCTGTCTTGACCCTGCGAAGTGATGGATAATATGAATCATGCACGCTGGCAGTTAACCTTAGTGTGGGAGATTTTTCTTTCGGGGGGAAAAAACAGATATCTGCGCTGTGCGTTGCCTAAGATAGTAACCTATGCTAAGTTTAGGGAATTTATGTTGTCAAATAAAAACTTTTTCCATAAAAGAACCTAATTTTGATCATTCAGTTCGTATAGCAACATAGTGCCGATACCGAGGTGCAGCTTCGAGCACGAGGGCACGTATATACAAAGAGATGGAAAAATGGACATGGCGAAATCGACTCAGCTCATCACGCTGATCGTTTAGTGCTATATATTTTCACATAAATATTTTATAATTTTTATCATTTAAAATTTCCAAAAAAAAATCAAAATATTTTTTATTAAAAAATATTAATCAAAATTTTATAATACTGTGTTGTTAGCTGCTACTTTAAAATCTTAATTTCTTATGCTAAATTTGATTCATTTGATATTCATTTTTATTTTTATTTTTTTCAAAATAAGTCAAAAAAATAATAATCCTTTATATTGTCGGGTTTTAAACATTAATTTTTAAAATCAAAATTGTATCTCATGCCGTACTCTATATATTCCGCCTCTTATGAAGGACATTCCGTACAGTCCTTTTACATTTAATTCTGTATACCTTGAAATACGATTAATTACCATCGCATGTGTATATATGTACCTACTATATATATATACGAATGCAGCATATGTTTGGCTAATTTATTTAATTGAAATCGAATTATTTGCTGTCGCACTTGAAATACCGCAGGCACAGCTTAATTATCGGTCAATTGCTGAAATGTAAACTTTACGCGCTTCACTGTACACAAGCACCATTAAGAGTGAACTCAGTGAGCTTATTGAACAGCAACGACAATGTTGCCGCATACAACGAAAAAATTGTGAAATAAACAACAACAAGAACTTGAACTTCGGCTCCTCTTACTGCATAATAATCTTTATTGGCGCTTTTTTATAACATCAAAGAGCATAAAAAGATCTTATTAGTCAGTTTAGATTGCAGCTATAAGCCTTATAGGGCATATTTGAACAGTATGTTCAGGGACTGGAACGATGGCGTGAAGATTTCTAGTCAAATTGCAACACTTCTATAAAAAAATGAAACCTAGCATTCATTATTGGATTATATTCAACTGAATAGACTACGTCCAGCACGGTGTGAAGAAAATATAGCAGCCGTAGCTGAGAGTGTACACGAAGACCGGGGAGAGCCGATTCGCCGCGGTACGCAGCAACTCTGACTGACGTATGGAACGACATAATATATTAAAAAAGTACAAAGTACAGCATGTGCAAGAACTGAATTCGCTCGACCTTCTCAAGCAACTTCGCTTCGCTCTATGGGCTCTTGAAAGATTCCAAGAAGATCCGACATTTTTTTGCTAGATTTTGTTCACCGATCAGGCTAATTTCTGGGATGTAAACAAGCGAAATTCCCGCATTTAGGTCAAAGAGCAACCTGAAGAGACTCAAGAACTGAAAAATAACGATTCTGTGCGATATCTTCAAAATTAATGCCGGTGAGAACGTAAACGTAATCGACCATATAATTCCTGAAATTGAAGCTCATGATCTTGGCGTTCGCATTCATCAATGGATTTATTGAGAAAACGTTTTGGATAACGGTTTGAATTTTCGCTGTGAGGATATGTGAAGTCTAAAGTCTATGCGTGCAATTCCGCTTCGATTCAAGGCTTGGAACAAAACATTACGCGTGTCAATCACCAGTTACTAGTCGAGTTGCTGGAACGAGCTATCGAAAATTGAATTCAACGGATGGACCATTTGAAACGTAGCCACTGACAAAATTTGAAAGAAATAAGCTTCACAAAGTAAATGCAAAAGGATGCTCTTTCGAATAATATTAAATTGTTTTAATATTATAACTTATATTATAGTTTAATTTTTGTGTTTTTTCTCTGAAAAGAAGTAGGTAACATCGAAATGGATCCAGTCTCTGAAGTCCGATGAAATTTTCAGCTGTATCCTTTGGTTACTTTGTCTTTAGTCTGGGAAGAAGCGCTGACACCGAAGGGGACCTATATTTTAGGCGTCAACATTTATAATTGACGAACGAATAATGCTTGTTTTTCAAAAAAAAAAAAAAATAAAATATCAGTTTTGAAAAATAAAATATCACATCTCTTATAAATAGTGCTTTTAGAACTTTGACAGCTTGATTGGTCTCCTTACCAGTCAACGGTTCGTTCGGTTCCAAATAAGTTGATATTTCTTATAGCTGGACCTATCAATCCAGAATTCTACTTTATCGATCGCTATAACTCCGAAAATAAGAACACAAAACTAGTTCTTGGCAAATTATTTCATTACACCTTGTCAGTATTATTGAACTCCCAAAGAGCACCCTATATATTCACTATATGTACCATGGTCTGAAATTAAAGAAATTTCATAGAATTTTAGCAATGTTCCATATGATCTTTAACATTGCAGTACTTGCAAAAAATTCTTCATAAAAATTAATTGATTTCTTCAAAAATAAACTTTGTATAGATACCGGTTATTGTATGTTTCCCGAATGCGTGGCAACACTAATTGAACGCACACAATTACTATGAAATATTAACACAAACACACACAAGCCAATACGCGTATCACCAATAAATCGTGTTATGACGAACGTAAAGCGAGGTGTTTCATATGTGTTGTTGCCATTAAAGAGAGTAGGCGCTCGTGGGCTGCGAGCACTTAGCATTATCGATATTGTTTAACTTACTCACAATTAGGCTGTCGTTGGCTAGCAGTGCTTACTCCACCAAGGGGAGTAACTTAGTACATAATATATGTTATATCACATACTTGTTTATTTATGTATTTATAATCACCAACTATATATGAGAAATCACACTACTTGCGCCATTAATCACCTTGTATAAGCAATAATTCGTTTGCAACAACAACACTTAGCGAAAACACGATTGCAACATTATCGCACGGCTGTCGTCGTTCCACCGATAACAAGCTAATTTAATTATTTCGTGCTGAACCTTTTCACAGTGAAACGGTGAATTTACTAGCGCGTCAGAGCTGAGTTTACAAATTTTGTTGTCACCTGCCGCCGCCATGTGCGATACTGTTATACTTTCAATCAAATTGAACACTTTTTGTTGCACCTTCGCCGTTGCTGGCTGTCACAGTTGGGTTTTTGCCGTTTTCTTTGCTGTTTCGCCTTTGTTTTTCCTGTTTTGCCTCGAAGGATGAGCAAACATCGTATTACAGTGTCTACAGTTACTCAATATAAGCTTAACAATGTGTGTAACTGTATTTGTTGTGCTACTTGTGTTTGTTGTAAACTGATAATTTATTCAGCACACAATAAAGAACGGCACTCTAATGCCGCCTGCCACTGCCATGCACGCCTGTGAGTGTGTGTGTGTTTACACGCAAGTATGTCAATGTGATGCGTTAGATGGCTGTGTGTGTGTGTGTGTCTGTTTGCAGATAACCATTTTATCTGCAGCCGCCAGTGTGCAACCCACTCGCCCCTCTCTCTATAGCTGGCTTTGCAGCCGATACTCGCCGTCACTTTAAATACTGTCTCTTATACACATCTAGATGTGTATAAGAGACAGGTGTGTGTGTGTCTGTTTGCAGATAACCATTTTATCTGCAGCCGCCAGTGTGCAACCCACTCGCCCCTCTCTCTATAGCTGGCTTTGCAGCCGATACTCGCCGTCACTTTAAATATGCGCTTCTGGCTTGTTTGTTTTCTTGAGTATTCTATAAATAGTTTTATGTTGATTGTTGTTGTTATATTGTTCGTCCTGTTGC